ATTAAAATGCCAAGGGTTAAAGACAAAGAGAGAATATTAAAAGCAGCAAGAGAAAAACAGTTAGTTACCTACAAGGGAGCATCCATACAACTGTCAGCTGATTTCTCAACAGAAACTATGCAGGCCAGAAGGGAGTGGCAAGAAATATTCAAAGTGATTAATTGCTATAACCTACAACCAAGATTACTCTACTCACCAAAGCTATCATGTAGAATTGAAGGTCAGATAAAGAGCTTCACAGACAAGAAAAAGCTAAAGTAGTTCATCACCACCAAAGCAGGATTATATGAAATGCTGAAGGGTACTCTTTAAGAAGAGGAAGAAGAAGTAGAAAAAGGTAAAGATAAAAATTATGAACAACAAAGCGACAACAATACATATCTATCAACAAGTGAATCTAAAAATTAAGTCAATAAAAAAAATCTGATGAACAGAACTGGTGAATATAATAGAAGCAGGGGCATAGAAAGGGAGTGGACTGACAATTATCGGGGGGAAGGGGGTGTGAGAGGTGTGGGAAGAGATTGGACAAAAATCTTACACCTATGGATGAGGACAGTGGCGGGGGGGAAGGGCATGGGGGGGGGTGGGAACCAGGTGGAGGGGAGCTATCAGGGAAAAAAAGAGGAACATCTGTAATAATCTGAACAATAAAGATTTATTAATTTAAAAAAATAGAAGACATGGTAGAATATTTGAATATTCTAGAAAATTATTCCCTAAAATACTGTTTTCTGACTGAACCTTAATTAGTCAAGACAACAAGTAAAATTTTCAAACACTGAGTTCCTCATTCACATACATAACAAAGCCATTCTTTTCTAAACCAGAAAATGCCCATTTGTTTCCTAAGAGCATGAATCAGAAAGTCTATCCTAGAAAGCAGAAGCCTCCTAGAGATGTTAAAATAATAAAGGAAACAAAACCCTGAGAGTGGAAGAGGAACTCAGGAAGGAAGTCATCCTCACCCAGGGAGACCAGGTTGCTGTAGTTCTCCAACATCACATCCAGGTACAATATCCGCTGAGCTGGGTCCAGGCATTCCCACTCCTCCTGAGAGAAATCTATGGCCACATCCCTGAAGGTCAATGGTCCCTGAAAGGAAAGACAAGTTTATCAAGCGGTCACCAGAAGAGTTCATAATGTAAGCCAACATGAAAACAGTGTTAGGAGATAAAGAAAAAAATGAAGGAAAAAAAAGAAACAAACAAAAAAGAAAACTGTGTTAGGAGAAGAGGTTTTGACCAAGGGGAATATCCTGAATCACCCAGTAAGATCACATTGCCCAGTAACATTCTCTGGTATGTTTTCGAACATTAACAAATGAGGATGACACCTGTCCCAAAATCCACGGTACAGATTTTACTTTTCAGGAAAATAAACTTTTTTTTAAAAAAATATAGTTTATTGATTTTTTTACAGAGAGGAAGGGAGAGGGATAGAGAGTTAGAAAGATCGATGAGAGAGAAACATCGATCAGCTGCCTCCTGCACACTCCCCACTGGGGATGTGCCCGCAACCAAGGTACATGCCCTTGACCAGAATCGAACCTGGGACCCTTGAGTCCGCAGGCCGATGCTCTATCCACTGAGCGAAACCGGTTAGGGCGGAAAATAAACTTTAAAATTAGGGCATCGACACGGGAATATGGGTTTCTGAGGGCTGTGTTTGCATTGTTCAGGGTCCGTGGTGTGTATTCCTCAGCTGGAGATGTCATGCTCAGTTGGAAGCATAATTACGGCCTGAAGTGTAACACAGTCAACCACGACTGCACTTTTCTAAAAATACAGATTCTGATCCAGGTTCTCAGATGGGGCCTGTGTTTCCACATGTGTAACAAGCTCACTTTTCACTTGTGATGCCAATGTTTATGGTCCATTTGTCATACTTCTGAATAAACAGAAGAGAAAACACAGGAAAAAATTCATACATAACTTTTAAGTGAAAGTGTTTGTTAATGGAATTTATAGTTTTCATGGAATAGGACACATAGGAACCACAATCCTATTTGAAATTTCACTATGAGTATTCTTAGAACAAGATTATTCTCCCTTTGATAGAATATTTTGTGAAACATATTAATTAAAGTTACTAGTAAACCTTCAATTTTATTCCAAACTCGATCTACAATTAAAAAAGAAACAAACTCAGGTCGATACCCATAAAGAAAACTCATGAATATTCACAGCAGTTTCTGTAACTGAGAAGAATAAAGACAGGTTAAGCAAGTAAGAAAATATAGCTCAAACGATGTTAACATTTTATGTAGAGACACACACTTATGAGAACTTACCTACAATTTAAAATGGATAGAAAAAAAGAATTATCATGTCAATGAAATCAAGGTCATTTTGTGATTCCATAAATTTCATGAACATCCTTGTGAATGATACCCTTTGTGTATTATAAACACAATAAGGAGATGAACTCACATGATGATAGAAAATATGTTGGACCTATTGTTTAAAAGTCGCTAATGCATTTGGAAATTTTTATGTGTCATTAGTGGAGAGCTACAATCATAGAAATTTAACTGAATTGGAGATACATTAATAATATGATTCTTGTAAACTTTCTGGAAAATATAAAAAGTGATTATGTCGAGTATGTCCATGAATGAATGTAGAATATAAAAAAAAATTTACAGCAAGAAGGCCTGATTGGTTGAAGCTCCCATGTCAAAAGACAGTGATATTTAGGAAATAAAAGTAGGGCTTTTATTTTTTAAAGTAAATAGAAGCTAAGACAAAGAGGGGGGCGTCTGGATGGTCTGTGCACATCTCTCAATAAATTCTACGATTAGGGGAGCATCTCAGCCAAGGGAATATCAGGTGAACTGGAACAATGGATATCAAGTGACTGAGACACAGGAAAAGGACATGTCATAGCAAAAATACATAAATAAGCAAGTCATTATGTGAAAATGGTCATAAATAAACATTAATGTTTGCAAGTGTCAATCGAGTGTACCTCTCATGTTCTATAAAGATTTAAATAGCAAGTCTTTCTTACTAATCTAGTGAGCAAGTCTCTTCTCTTTACTATTCTTTTCAGAACTTGCTGACCTATTCTGAGCAGTAAGATGTGCTTTTCCTTAGGCTTATTCTAGAGCTGATGCTGCAGCCACCTGAACCTAAAAGTTATATTTCCCTTCTTCACCGATACCCGAGCCTCTGGACCCATCCCGGTAGGGATGTTAGACATGGCTGCCTTCCAAGGTTGACCTGTCAGAGAAGGATGTTTTCAATAGTTGAAAGTCATCAATTAAAGGTGGGAAATCTTCTTGACCTGGTGGAACCTGCATAACATGAATGCAGAGAAGGCTCTGGGCAAAAGAAAAAACTATATACACTGCTGACCTTGATTATCACAAGAAAACCGGTAATTAAATAAGTAAAGGAAAAGAGCATGAATAGCACCAACATCAGAAGGGGCAGGTCCTAAATCCACAGATGTCAGAGGAAAAGGAAACATAGCCTGTGACCCAGGACATGTCTTTTACCTGAGAAGCAGCCATTTGGTCCTGGTCCTGATGGGGTCTGGGTTGTTGTCTCAGGCGAGGATATGTTGAGGAGTCACAGGCTGTGCCTTCAAAGACGACAGCTCAGCGTCTCAATCAGCTCACACGACATTCACAGTCAGAAGGACCCGGAAATACAGAAAAGGCCACCCCCTCCTGTCCTGGGTCACAGGAGAGAGTGAGGAACAATGAGCTCCTACTTGGAGACCACACTGAGTTTTCAAGTGTGTGTCTTCATGTGTCTCTCCTCCCAGACATCCACTAACTCCTACAGAAATGAGAGCGTGAGCTGCTGTCCTTAAGCCCCAAACTAAACAGAGCACCCCCTTACCTCCCCTGGATAAAGCCTGCTCCCCACTCTCACAAAGGCATCCTGCAATCCTCCTGCTATCCCTGTCCACACCTTCCAATTACCCGGAGGCACCTCAGCAACCAATGATGCCCCACCCAGAGTAGATGTCACACTCCATGGGGGAAATTACCCCTGATGGCATTTCTTAAAGCTCTTCAGGGAATCTGAGAATTTATCTCAGTATGTTTTTAAAAAATAAATTAAGTGTCAAACATAGAAAAAGTAAATCCATGGAAGAAACACACACACACACACCACAGGGAAAAACCTAAGGCTTCTAATATTCCTTGAAAAAGCAGCAGATTGCCCTAACCGGTTTGGCTCAGTGGATAGAGCCTGGGTCTGAAGACTGAAAGGTCCCAGGTTCAATTCAGGTCAAGGGCATGAACCTTAGTTTCAGGCACATCCCCAGTAGGAGGTGTGCAGGAGGCAGCTGATGGATGTTTCTCTCTCATCCATGTTTCCACCTCTCTCTCTCTCTCCCTCTCTGTAAAAAATCAATAAAATATATTTAAAAGAAAAAAAGAAAAAGGATCAGATGGTGACAGATTCAGGTCACCTCCCCGTTTCAATCCCAGGAAATGACAAGGAACCCATGAACAACGGACAAGTCTCTCCCCTCTGAGTAAATAAGGGCTGTAATTGGAAGCAAAATATTATAAAATTCCAAAGCCTTATACACTAGAGATTTATATTTCTCATTCAAATCTGTATAACTAAGACAATTCAGCTGTTAAATTAAATATATAAAGCCATGCTTAGGCAGCATGACTAAGTGGTTGAGACTGGACCTATCAACCAGAAGATCATGGTTAGATTCCGAGTCAGGGCATGTGGCCAGGTTGCAGGTTTGATCACTACTGTGGGGCGAGCAGGAGGCAGTTGATGAATGATTGTCTTTCCTCATTGATGTTTCTAACTCTCTTCCCCTCTCCCTGCCTCCTGGAGATGAATATATATATATATATCCTCAGTCGATATATCACAACTTAACCATCCACATCCCATCAGCTCACCTTTCACTCAGATCAGGGTTCCCTCCTCCCACTACATGTATTTCTGTCTGTGGATCTGTCTCTGTCTCCTGCTCCCTTTCTCTCCACTGTGGTCCTTTCCTGTGTCCCCTCTTTCCTGCTCTCTCTCCCCTTTTCTCTCTGTCTGTCTGTCCCTACACCTGGACTATGAAACTCCTGAAACCTCCTTCCCTTCAGGGGCTCTTTCTCCTGGTCTCTGAGGCTCCATCTCCACACACGTCTGCGTCTTCCCCTCCCCACGCCCGCGGCCCCTCTGCTGCCTGTTCCCGTCTGTCCCGCTCCCACAGCTGCTGACTCAGGGCTGCTCCCCCTGCTCCCTCATCCCTGAGTCCCCCTTTCTGTCCCTGCACTCGCTCCCCAACTCTTCTCCTCTGAACCCGTGTCTCTGTCTCAAGTGCCTCCTCCTGTGCGGCCCCCACTTCTGCTCCCCAGGACCCGCTCCCTCTCAGCCCCCCTTCCTCTCTCTGGGCTCCCCCTCCTCCCTGTGTCTCCACTTCCTTCCTCCTCAG